AGACCAAAAGAAAGTCAGATATTGCAGTTTGGATGTGTATCTTGTCTCTATCAGTGTCTGTGTGGGGAAGAGGGAGGGAGGGGGGGGGTTGCTGGTGTCTGCGTTTATGTGTGTGTGTGTGTGTGTGTGTGTGTGTGTGGCTGACTGTAGATTTTTTCTGCAAGTCCTTATCTTTTTGCATAACAATTTTGTATTTTTTTAAATGACAAAATATGCATATAACCCTAATCTTTTAAATGTATAGTTTGCTTTAAATAAAAGTAAGATAAATTGGTAAACTACAAATTGGTAATTGAAGCTGAATGAATTTAAAATTAATGTGCTATATTTCAATACATTTGCTTTCCTTAATATTGTAAAACACTAACCTCATTTATATGTGTGTGTGTGTGTTTGTATGTATATATATTTTGCAAAGCCCTCACTGATGCAAGCTCTTCTGCACACTTCTCTTCGACAGTCAATGCGGAGGTTAAGTTTTTGCACGTCGTGCAGAATAACCCTCTTTATATATATATATATATATATATATATATATATATACTTAAAAAAGCGGGGGTTAAGTTTTTGCACGTCGTGCAGAATAACACTAAAGGCACCATATATATACTTAAAAGTGGGGTTGTTAGTTTTATCTACAGTTACAAAAATCGGTATATACATTGTACTCCTCAAGCCGTACAACTTTCTAATACATAGTCATTAGCTCGGACCAAGAGGAAGTCAGATATTTTGGTCTGAATATGGTGAGCCTCTCTCTGAGCCTACGTCCCTGTATGGCAAGCCCTTTTAACATTTAAAAGCTAAGTTTGCCTATCCGGAATTAACATTGTAGATATCAACAACGTCTTTCTGTCTAGTCGTTACACTTTGGATAGTTTGTATTATCATTTAAGATATCTGTAACATAATTGTGACTAGTCAAAATGACAGAGTATGGCAAGCCGTTTTAACATTTAATCATGAAAGGGCCAAAGCCTTCGGCACCGCCACCCGGGTGCCTTTAGGTAACTAAAGGAACCGGGGTTGCGGTGCCTCCGGCTTGGGCCCGCCATCGCTGCTCGCAGCTATATTTAATTATTGTTTTATGTTATGGCTGACAATTGAATATATATATATAAATTCAATTGTTAGCCATAACATAAAAAAAATAATTAATTACTTCTAGGTATTAGCTGGAATTGCAATGTCAGTGCATATATATATATATATATATATATATATATATATATAATAAATTGAAATAAATTAAAAATAAACAAAAAACTAAAATAAATAGTTTTAAATACTGCATTTAAAGAATGTTGGCATCACAACATTATAAAATACATTGTGAAAAATAGATATTTAAATTAGTGTTTTTAAAGATTAACTTTAAATAAGCTAGATAACAGCAAAGGTAATCCGAATGTAAAAAAAAAAAAAGGATATGAAGCATGCACTATTAAATATTGAAACCTATAAATTAGACAAATCTATAAAACCTCCCAATAATATGTTAAAAATATATTGATATATTCTGAGCAGGATGCTCCTGCTAGCAGTCCTTGTCTTGTGATGACTGGACAAAGTCTGGCACGGTGTGGAAAACTGCTGCACTCTGACACTAAACTCCAACATGCCGCAATAAAAGCATTTGAGAAGAGGAAGACGAGCACATAAACCAATAACATAAGCAGCAAACATGAAAGCAGGAAAAGAAGGGCAGAGAGGACAAATCATTTTGGGAAGGGGTGCTGGTGTGCATGTTTATTTTCTGTGTTGCCCTTGTTATTGATCTCCCTCTGTCTCTGCTGTTGTTGTGGTGGTGGGTGTTTTGTATAGAGATTGAGAGAGAGAGAGAGAGAGAGAGAGAGAGAACTGAAATGATATGGCCACAGTCCAGCTTCATGCCAGCCAAGTAACTGCCATCCACAAAATAAACTCAAAATTACACCGTCCAATAAAGCTGCTGCAAAGACAGACTGAACAAGCTAGTAAAAAAAAAAAAAAAAAAACACTACAATATAGACAGGGTCGGCGCTATGGTGGGGCATTCGAGGGCCGTGCCCCCCCTAGCGCTCATTGATGCCCCTCCTACCACAGTTTCTAAATCATAAATCAGATGTAGGCTATACAATACCAAATGTTTAGCAATCTATTTAAATAGTACATTGTGTTTAATTTGTTGTCTAAGTGGATCTAATATGTGTTGGTGCCAAGAATTTTCACATGAAGAAATAGATATATCCAATCCGACTTTTCATTGTAAGTGCTGTAGTGGTCCAGTGGTAAAACCTTAGACTGGAGTGCTAGAGATTTTGGGTTCTAACCCACACTCGCATAATTATTTTTTTTCCCCCATCATTAAAACCGATTATGTTTATCAGTGGTTGTCAAGCAGGGACATGTTTGAGTGCATTTTACTTTGGATTTCACCGGTACGAATAGAGATTTCGCCGCAACAGATCAAGCGCGCGTCCGTGTGAAGATGTTTATTGTGGCAGCGCGAGCCACAAGAGAACACTTCAGCACCACAGTCACCGAGCACTTTGATCACTTGATTTAAAAACCAACACATTTCAGCGTGCTATATCGCCTCTTATTTAACAAATGAATGCTCTGCTAGGTAACCGGATATGTTTTATTTATTTGTATTGGTAGGCTACATCGATCCGTGCCGCGAGATCGAGATGTATAAAAGTGCTGGGTCAACATCGACCCTGGCAAAAAGTGGTGGGGAAATTCGCAAATAATAATTATAAATAATAATTATAATAATAAAAGGTGTTTCGTTTTTTTTTTTTTTTTTTTTTTTTTTTGCGTCAAAATATTTCTTAAACGGCAGTGCCACCCCGCTGATGACCCAATGCCCCTCCAGTAGATCTGCTCTGGCGCCGACTCTGAATATAGAACATAAAAGATAAGTGTGGAGAGAACAGAGGGGGAGACTGAGTGAAAATAACAGTCAATTTAAAGAACTTAAACAGTATTTGCTATTCTAAGAAGATTGAAAGGAACTGGTAAATGCATTTATTGTTATTATTTGCATATACACATAATAATTGATTCGAATTAATTAAAATATTTATACTTAAATATATATATAATATAGTATACAATTTCAAAATAAAATGTAAATATTCCCATGTTAAACATTTAATAATGGCAATATTTATTTATATTGGATTTTTTTTTATTTCTTTTAACGTTCTACGGTTTATGTAATATGTGCGTGCGTGTGTGTGTGTGTGTGTGTGGGTTGAATATAAAAATAAAAATACATTAAATATTGCCATTATTAAATGTTAATCCATTTTTTTGGATGGAGGCCACTGAAAATGTAGGCAGGTCAAGTAAAACCTGAACTACAGACTCGAGTTCCACTCACTAGTTGATGAAGTCGACGGCCTGTGTCTTGAGCTGGTCGGCACTGTGCAGGTCCGCCAAGATCAGAATCTCTGCTGCGTTTTCCACAGACAGACTTGTGCACAGAGCGTCCTCACACATCACCTTAAGCCGCTCTAGAGCATACTAAAGACAGAGGAATGCACTTCACTAAAAATATGTATGCTAGAGATGGCAAAACAAAGCATGTACTATTGGCACTGGCAGCCAATACTTGATTATTTTAGTTTGCTGCTTACGACATGTGCACTTTCTGGTCCCTTTATATGTAAGTTTGGCAAGAAACTGTGAATGCATAACTGTGAAGGGGGAAAATGCCATTCAGACTTAATAAACTTATTTGAATTCTTCCTCTGTTTGGCTTATATATAGCTAAATAGGGTGTTTGTGTGTGCGTAATACTCGCCTTGTCAGCGGCAGCGAGCAGGTCATCAGCCATCTTGTCCAGATTGGGTGCTTTGCCAGTGTAGATGAAGAACATCATCTCTTTAAAGACCTCAGCCTCCACGTCGTTTATCTCCACTCGGTTCTAGGCGGGAGATCACAGCAGAATCTGGTCAACCTTACTGGTCTCAGAGAACATCAGATTGGAAAACCCTGAAGATTCCTGTCAGTCTACTGACTGAGCTTTTGAAGTTTTAAGAGCTAACGTAATTGGACCTGAAGCAGTTCAGAGTGTTAAAACTGTTGTTGAAGCGTAATGCGTAATTGTGTCGAAGTCTGGCTTTTCCGCTCATTAACAGCGAACACACAACCACTGACCTGCACCGCAGAGTGTGTACGAGCACACAAAATTTATATGTAGTTCAGAAAGCCTCATTCCGTTTTCTGTTCCTGCTCTGATCAATGTTCCAGAATGAGTGCTGCGAGTTTCTCTCTTCTGCCCAAGGCTGCCGGAGCACAAACTCTTTGTCGATTGTCGTGCTGTTAACAAAGGCTTTTCCGTCCCAGCCCGTCCATCACAGCTAAACTAATTAATGCAGTTACTGCTAGGAAATCCACTCCACCCACAGACTCACCGCAAGGTCAAATGAAAAAGTTCACTCAAAAGAAAAACAGTCAGTAATTGTACTAGAACATTCCTATTTCCAGGGTGACATATCAAGCATCATTGCCTGTCATTTACAAAACGTAACGTAAATCCATCCATTTCTCCCGAAAGACATGAAAGGCTGGTGAACAGGGAGAAGACGTAAAATGTACGTTTGTTGTGGGGGGAAATAACATGTCTCAAAGTTACATTTGAAAGGTTTATTATGTCCGCTTACTTTTTTTTCCCTCAAATTATAAATGGTTCGCTAGTACTTGTGTATTTAAATGCCTGAAAAAGAAAAAAGAAAACATTATTTGGTTGAAAACTGTCTGAACGCGTGATAATAAATGACAACTGACACACGCTCTCTGGCTCAGTGCCAAACCTGAGAAAGCAGCGCTAATCGGCGCTGTGATCATGCGTCAATGATACAGTGCTATACTAGAGTCAGTGATTACAACTCTGATCTGGGGTTTTAGAAAGTAGGTCAAGTCTTTCCAAGTCACAGGGCTCAAGTCCGAGTCAAGTTGCGAGTCATTGTTGTCAAAGTCTAAGTCGAGTCGCAAGTCATCTTTGAATATGTCAAGTCGAGTCGTAAGTCATCAAATTTGGGACTCGAGTCCAAGTCAAGTCCGAGTCATGCGACTCGAGTCCACAACCCTGCCTCACTCCCCCTGCAGATTGGGAGTATCATAATAAAAGTTAGTTACAAATGTAATGCAGAATTTGAGAATGAACAAGACCCAAATGAATCTTTCAGACTATTCAAGAAGCAGAATTTCATAGAAACGCCGGCTCTAAATCAGACAATCTGCCATTTGAGACTGTGCAAACAATGAATGCTGGACGATTCCCTTATAGTAATTTAAGTGGCAAAGTCTCCCACACACACGCACAAAAAAGGAAGGCTGTGATGCTTTCGATTCTATGACCAAAACTATAAGGGATTAGTTTGCCCAAACATGAGAATTCATTGAAATATATTTTGTGTTCCACAGAAGAAAGTCAAACAGGATTGGAATGACATGAGGGTGAGTAAATGACATCAGAATATTCACTTTCTTTTAAAGGGACACTCCACCCATTTGCATTAAGCTCTCCATTGTTAGAAATCCAGAATGGTCGTGCAACACTCTCGTCTCACAGGTGTTGCTCATCGGTAATCACGCCGTTCTCCACACAGCCCTCACTCGTCCTGCTCGCCATGGTAAACATGATCAATGGCGACTGTTGAACGCAAAAGCCGAATTTTGGGTGATCAACACATATTTTTTATCACGAGACTCACCACGGAGACTCACTAGTAACATTAGCCAAGACTTTTGTTTAACTACTGCGTTCTGTAGGCGTGACCTCCAAGCCAGCAAAGCAAATGCATTCTGGGAGTTGTTGTCTTTCATCCACATAAGCCAAAAATACATTTTCTGGCTTTTCTCAGTCTAGAAAGCTCCAAATTCAAAAATAATTTCAGATTTCTTCTATATAAATTACCCATTTTAAATACACATTCATCTTTCCAGAGGTGGGATGACCCTTTAAGTTAACTAACATGATGCATTTGGATGCACCGCAAGAGATGAAGATTGCAGGTTTTACACACTTTTCACAGCTCCTAAAACAGCTCCACACCAACCAAAAAAAAAAAAAACTTGGTCATCAAAAGTACTCGTCCACACCTGAAGCTCCGGTGTAAGAAGTCACTAAAGTATCCAGACAAGCTCATGTGCAGATTTTCAGGAGTCTTTCCTTTAGATATAAAGGGCAACTCATCTGTTTAGTCTCTCTCTGATGAGGCATTTCCTCTCTATTCTCTTGAGATTTTGACTATTGGAGCATCAAAGCCATCAATATTCTACAGATGCCGCAGCGAAATCACTGAGCCCCAACCATCATCTAAATCTGACACACTCGCTTTCACACGTGCCTATACGCAAACTGAACCCCAGATCCCAACATTCATCTATTAACCACACACACACTCTTTCTTAGCACTTAACTCAGCCTCACATATTTGCATGGACCCTCAATAAGCCACACAAGCAAAAGGAACAACAGGAAATCTCACAGCTCCACAAACCCCAAAAGCAAGCACATCCTGTCCCAAAAAATGGTGCATGATGAAACTCTGGGAAAGGGGGATATGGAGAGAGCGACAGGAGGGAGGCAGAGGAATACTGGATCAGCAGATGGTGAAATATGTGAATATCATAGATGATGTTAAGGATGAAGAGCAAGAAGTCAGTCAGGGGAAGGGTAGGGGTATAATTTCAGTATTATTTATATACTACTGCAGTACTCGTAAGGAATTCACTTTTATTTTTTATTTTATATTAGTGTCAGTTTTTTGTATTTTATTTCAATAAACAAATTTATATAAAATATTTTTAATAGTAGCTAACAATAACAATAATGCTGCGTATATCCAACTTTAAATCCAGAGGCAGCAGTTGTTGGGCCACAACCTGTAAGTAGGCTAAGACTTCATCATTTTAAATGTATTTTCATGTATAATCTCAGACGTAACGTTAATGTTTTAGTTTTATCAAATGCCAGCGCTGGCTTTATAGCCACTTAGTTATGATATTTCGTGTTTGACAAACGCGTACAAACAGTTTGGACCTGAATTTTGTATATGTACTAATTTTGTAAATGTATATTTCATGTATATATACTTTGACATTATTTTTTTATTTGATCAAGAACGTAAACCAGTGCCAACACTGTTTGTGTATATAATAGCCAGTCAGTTCGATGCTATTAAGTAAAACAAACGTGTATAAAGTAAAAAAAAAAAGGCAAATTACCATTCAGAAACGTTTAGTAAGAGCCGTGTGTGGTGAGGTTCTGCTTGACTCTCTTCATCGCCGCTTTCTCGGTCTGATTCTGCCTCATACTGATACTGCAGTATCGACACTATTATGTACATTTGATAGGAACACATGCAACTCTTGCCCGTAAAGGTAATGGGCGTGAAGTTTCCGGACAACGTGCACTACAGTTTAGCCAATCACAACATACCAGCCCAAACTAACCAATCTGAGCCCACTTACCCTTTCTAAGGGAGTGGTTTCCTAGACTCAGGAAGTCAACCACTCGTTCGAAGACAGAGGAGAAAGCGGCTTACAATAAAGGTGAAATTTATGAAAAATTAGTCTATTTTTAAAAAGAAAAAAACACGAATACATGTTATATTGCACCCCATAAACACAATCATGCAAAGAAAAATGCAGCATACCATTCCTTTAACAAAGTGCAGGCCTCTTGATTTACACAGGCTTTCCTTACTGCTGTGATCTATATCAGGCCTAATAAGACTGCCATATTAAAAAGCCATGTAAGAAAAATAGCAAATAGTGATTTATGATCAGCTATTGAAAACGAGCTGGAAGACGGTACAGCTGAGCAATTCTGTAAATGCAGAGGCATTAGATCTCAAACACATGGCCGAACTGAAAAGAATTCCTACTGAGAGAACACTAATACACTTACTGTATAAACCAAGAATTGAGACATCAGGAAAACACTTGCATTCAAAACAAAATGAAATGTAAATGGTGTGAGGGACTCTGTGATTGTGACAGCCTAAAAGGACTGGAGTCGTCTTACTGCTTTTGAAGATTAATGAGAGAAAATGGGAGAAGGGAGCCAACAAAATACACCCGACTCACCTTTTTACTCTCCTCCATCTCGTGTTCAAACATAGCACTGAAAACTGGGGAACGTGCTGAGAAAGTAAAAGAGACGGAGAGAGAGTTTGTTTAATACACAACATAAACTTACAACAAAAATGTATAATAGAGCAAAACAGTGATAGGCCACTTTTTCAGCAGCATTGGTTTCAAGTATTTTTCCCCATTCATGTTCGCCAAAGACAATTTTAGAATGTTCTTAAAAATGTTAAAAAGAACCACAACATTACAACTTTGAAAAATAAAATAAAAACGATAAAATCAGAAAGAAAGAAAAAATGGAAAAAGGAAAAGTTCTGTTTTTATGAAGCTTGGCATATGACGTAAATCAATTCAATCAATTGTTTGTATAATACTTTTGTGTTGTGTTTGTGTTGAAATGTTTCAGTCAATATCTACAGGAACTGCGGTTCCTCCGAAAACTTGTGCCTTGGTGTAACAGACGAAGCTTTTGGCTGATTGACCCAGGAAATGGTGGCGGCTCAGACCTTCCTCTCTGTTAAGTCTGGATATGGAGTCAGATCGGTCTAGGGCAATTTTAACTTGTTTAAAAGCAGTGTGAAGTCCGGCACATTCTCTCCCTCACGCACACACTCTAAATCATAGCTCAGACACCAGCCTATCAGATCCGTCTCCAAGGCGATTAATGAGCACTACCAGGTTACGGCCAGATAACAAGGATTCCCGCCTCACCATGAGCGACAGCGGGAGAGAGTGAGGCTGTGTGTGAAACCTGAAAAACGCTGCCCTCTCAGACAGCATACATTGGTAGGAAGGTATTCAAATGTCCTCCTAACATCATGTCAAAAATTCTGTCTGGTCGATTTTTGAAGGCAGCACATACGCGTCTTTCGCTGCCTATGATATCCCACAATCCTGTACGTGTGGGTCGGCAGTTAGAAAAAAAACGCTGCTGGTCTGACAGAGCAGTTGAAAACAGCGAAATAGTTTATACATGTACATTTTCAGCGTATGATGAGCATTGTGGTCATTAAATATTCACTTGGTTATCTCTAAAGCTCACATGAATTTGTTCTTTAAAATGTAAAAGGCACTGCCGTCAAACTAAAAAGCTGTCTGGTGAGTCACTGACTGACTGGGCAATGAGACAGCTGTCTTATTCTTTGAACAGCCAGAGGGAGATCTAAATATTATTTACTGATGAGACTTTGATGACGTCAAAAATTGACAAATAAATTTATGTTATGTAATTTATAAATTTAAGTTAGGAAAACTTGTGAATTTGTCATTAAAATGCACTAATGTATAATGTGTGGTGAGTCACTACTTTAAATATCTGCATTAGTGTAGTTAAATAAAACAAAGCAAAACAATTAAAAATATATATTTTTTAAATAGTTTAACAAAAAACAAACAACAAAAAAAGACTTAGACTAATCAGCCATCCCATAAGTTTACATCTGCATTAAATTTCTTTAAACATGACCAAATCGAGTGCATGCGAGTGTGTGTGTCTGTGTTTAACACATACCTGCCAGAATAGCTTTGTGTGCCTGGAACTCTTGCCCAGCGACACACAGCGAACAGTCCGTGAATCTGGAATGTTCCCACAGTCCGCCCAGTTCATCTGCCAGGCGACAGTCAGGGACCTTCACCATGTTCATGGTGTTCTGACCCGAGATATTCACGGAGTCCTGCACCACACTCACCTAAACTCAAAAAACAGAATGTTTTGCACATGAAAAATTTGTATTTTTGCAGTTACAACAAAACTATCATACTAGAAAGAGATGCCTGCATATCAGCCCATGTATTGAAAGCATGCATCGTAAAAAGCTAGTGAGACTGGTATTTGATATTGATCGTGCGAATAATCAGACGATATTTGATCATTTTGAGATGATCAGTCTGCTTGGTTGATTAACAGAAGTGGTCATTCCTCTCGGAGTCGGTTTCAAAGTGGAAAAAAAAATTGTTAATTGATGGTTCAGAATTTTAAATATTCTTAAGTACCCATTGGCCAAGTATTGGGGGAAAAAGCAGTTTATTTATAATAAAAAAAATACTGAGTGCACCTTTACATTGTTGTATGCTATTATTCAATTATATATGAATTGTATTAGCCATTACCACCCACCACCCTTCTTCTGAGAGAGGCCATTAAAAAGTTACCAGATTAATGTGTCATTTAAAGGACAACCATATAAAAAAAGTTAAATATAATTTCTTCTCAACTTGACATGTTGATATTAGTATTAAATTATAATTATATATATATATATATATATATATATATATATAAATAATGTATATAAATAAATATAATGTATATATGAAGAGTTCAAATGCAAAAGCCTCTAAATGCCATTTGAAATTTTCTACTAGAATGATCATTTTTATCAAGCTTGTATATTTAAGTTCAGTGATTTCACTTAAATGGCAATGATAATTACCTATTAATTGTTATTTAAGTGAAATTACTGAACTTAAATATACAAGTTTGATAAAAATCATCATTAAAGAAGAAAATTTCAAATGGCATTTAGAGGCTTTTGCATCTGAACTCTTCATATATATATATATATATATATATATACACACACACACACACACAATTTTTTTATATATATTAATAAACACACACACAAATCAACCACTATTTCAGATAGATTTAAGGACATCCATATGTCAGCCAAAATGGTAGCTTCTGATTATCAGGGGGGACACTACAACGACTGTTCAACAAGGGCAGCCGTCTAGTTATCTCTTAATTTACACAAATTGCCTCAATTTGTTACTGGACTCTGTGTGTGAGCGTGTGTATGTGTGTGTGGTGAGCCACCATGCTGACTTAGCCACCTGTTCCCGCAGACATAAGCAGGTTCATTTATCTCACTCCAGGAGTCACACACACACACACTCTCTCACACAACCACAGAAATGATACAGGTTCTCACACCAACTTAATTGCCGTATAAGGCACATTTCCTTAATGAGCAAAACTCCTCACAGACAAGCCTCAAGACTGAGGATATTTCAAAACCTTGTGAGCTACCTTTACAACATTTTGGGCATCATAAGACAAGTACTGTATATTCAATTTAATTTAAACTGTATAAAGGCAACGCTAGAAAACTGGACATTTCTTGTTAGCTGCATAATGACAATGGCAATTAAACAATTAGCACAATCCCAGAATGTTTGTTTATAATTTTATTTTTTTAATTCAAGGATTATATGCCGACAGGGGTGAAAATGACACCGAAGAAGAGTAAAAGGGAGTGAGAATGAGACGGAACTGGATGGAGATGGAGGAGAGTGAGTATGACACAGAGAAAGGGGGTAAAAGAGCACCATAAACAGGAAATTAAATGTCAAGGACCCTTGTATGCTCTTAATGGAGGAGGGAAACAGGGAAGACAGCAGACGAGAAGGAGAGGGACAAACAAGGAAAGAGGGCAGGAAAACTAGCAAGATGAGGACAGTTTGGGGACCCAAAAAATACAACCATTTCCCGTTTACCCTTTGTGCTATCCATTACATGAATTACATTTTTTAAAATTGTTTCATGCTCTGACAGCTGTAAATGTTCCCATTTTATAACCAAGCGATTAATGCATCAGTCACTGTAATTTCATAATTTGTTTAATATTATGGCTATAGCAAAACAACTTTATCTTCAGCCTCAGAAATTGGACGGATCACTACTTTAAAGTCAAGCAAGTCACTTTAATGTAAGTCACGCAAATGTCCGTTCTCTGGCAAACAAAATGGATGAAATCCGGCTCTCCATTACCAATAACAGACGGATTATGGATTCTAATATTATGATTTTTACCGAAACATGGCTAAACAACAGCTGCCCGGGAAATGCTATTGAGTTAGCAGGACGCCACATACATCGAGCCGACAGGATAGCAGATGACTCCGGCAAGACCAGAGGTGGAGGTTTGTGCATTTATATTAACAATGCTTGGTGCACTAACTCTGCTACAACCGAGAGTCACTGCTCACCTAATGTGGAGTTTTTAACGGTCAAATGCAGACCTTACTATCTCCCCAGAGAATTTACTTCCATAATACTCACTGCAGTGTATATCCCCCCGGATGCAAATGCTAAGCTGGCAATGAAAGATCTTTATGCAACCATTAGCAAACATCAGACTAAACATCCTGAGGCTGCCTTTATTGTTGCTGGTGACTTCAACCACTCCAATCTAAAGACAGTCCTCCCCCAGATTTCACCAACATGTCTCTTGTCACACCAGAGGGAACAATATTTTGGACCATGTTTATTCTAACATTTCTGGAGCCTACAAAGCAATACCACTCCCCCACATTGGACAATCGGACCATCTTTCCCTGTTCCTCACACCACGGTACTCACCCCTCATCCAACGCGTGAAACCCACTGTGAGGACGATAAAAGTGTGGCCAGAGGGGACAGACGCTGTGCTCCAGGAACGGTTTAAAAACACAGACTGGAATATGTTTACCCATACAGACTTGAACCAATACGCCACATCTGTACTGGACCACATCTCCACGACTACACACAGTGTCACCACCCAGAAACAGATTATTATGTATCCCAACCAGAAGCCTTGGATGAACCGGAATGTCCGTCTCCTCTTGAGGGCCCGTAATAATGCCTTCAGGTCAGGGGATGCACAGGCCTACAGTACAGCCAGGGCTAAGCTGAAAAGGGGCATCAAAAATGCCAAACACCACTACAAAGGGAAGGTAGAAGAACACTTCTCCAACTCCAACCCCCGGCGTATGTGGCAAGGACTCCAGATAATCACAGACTACCGGACCATCAAACCCTCCCCTGTGTCCTCTGATATCTCCTTCCTCAACGAGCTCAACAACTTTTATGCTCGTTTTGAGCGGGGAACTCAACAACTGTGACTAAGGCAGTGGTGACTTCAGAACACCAACCTCCGACTCTCTCCCCCACTGATGTAGGAGCAGTGCTGAGCAGGATTAATGTCCACAAGGCTGCAGGTCCTGACGGCATCCCTGGTCGTGTTCTCAGAGTGTGTTCTGGGGAGCTGGCAGGGGTGCTGACGGACATATTTAATCTATCCTTGGCCCATGCTGTGGTACCAGCCTGCTTCAAATCCACCTCCATCGTTCCAATACCCAAAAACTCCAACCCATCAAGCCTGAATGACTACCGCCCAGTAGCCCTCACCCCAATTATCACTAAGTGCTTAGAGCAGCTGGTCCTCGCACACCTCAAATCCTGTCTCCCCCCCACCCTAGACCCCCACCAATTTGCATACCGTCAGAACAGGAGCACAGAGGATGCAGTCTCCATAGCGCTGCACTCTGTCCTCTCACACCTGGATAATAAAAATACCTATGCCAGAATGCTGTTTATAGACTTCAGTTCAGCATTTAATACAATCATCCCCTCACAACTCATCAGGAAACTTACAGACCTAGGTATCAATTCCCTCATGTGTAACTGGCTACTGGACTTCCTGACCAGCCGGCCCCAACATGTCCGACTGGATAACTACCGCTCATCCACCATAACAATGAACACCGGAGTACCACAAGGCTGTGTGTTGAGTCCCTTCCTGTACTCCTCCTCACCTATGACTGCAGACCTGTCAACTGTTCTAATAACATCATTAAGTTTGCAGATGACACCACGGTGATTGGCCTCATCAAAGACAGCAACGAGGCCGCCTATAGGGAGGAAGTGATTCGTCTGGCTGAGTGGTGCGACACCAACAACCTGCTGCTCAACACTCAGAAGACCAAGGAGCTCATTGTGGACTTCAGGAGGAATGCTAGCCCACACCTACCCGTCTACATCAAGGGGATGGCTGTGGAGCGTGTGAACAGCTTTAAGTTTCTGGGAGTCCACATCTCTGAGGATCTCACCTGGACGACTAACTGTTCCAACCTGGTCAAGAAGGCTCACCAGCGTCTCTTCTTTTTGAGGACTCTGAGAAAGAACCATCTGTCCTCAGACATCCTCGTGAACTTCTACCGTTGTACCATCGAGAGCATCCTGACCAACTCTATAACAGTTTGGTATGGGAGTTGCTCTGCTTCGGACCAGAAGGCGTTCCAGAGGGTGGTGAAAGCCGCTCAGCGGATTACTGGAGCACCACTTCCTTTTATAGAGGACCTCTACAGGAAACGGTGTCTGAAAAGGGCTGGGAAAATTATCAAGGACCCCAGTCACCCAGCACATAGATTCTTCGCCCTCCTGCCCTCTGGAAGGCGCTACCGAAGCCTCCGGACTAAGACCACCAGGTATCGGAACAGCTTCTTTCCTACAGCTGTCAGACTCCTAAATTCTGCCTCTTGACATCCAACCCCCATTAAAACTTATGGATTGAACATCACTACTGTATCCACATATCTCACCAACTTTTAACTGCACTACTGTAAATACTGTATAGACTCCATGCTGTACAATACAATAATTATAGTTTTTACAGCTGTTATTAATATTAACATTTGCATATTGTATATTTATAATTGTCATAGCCTTTATATCTTTTTTTATATTTATTAACCTTTACAAATAAAATGTTCATAGCATGTACATAGCTTGTAATATATTCTTGCTAAAAGCACTTCTGGATAGATGCAATTGCATTTCGTTGCTTGTACTCGTGACATGCAATGACAATAAATTGAATTCTATTCTATTCTATTCTATTTAATGAGCGGTGCGAGATGGGCACTAGAGCAGCTCTGTGCTGTCTGGACTCTTAGTATGAGAGAATGGTTTACTGTGTGTAAATCTAAACACAGAATCTAATGAGGGAGGAGGGTGTAAACTTGCGTGTATGCTATTCTCCCCCTGAATTTAATGAATGAACCTGCAACACACAACAAAAAAAAAACTCACTGAGTTAAACCCATGTGCGGATGTTCATCACACACTCATTAGTGGCACAC